CCAAATCAGCTACCATGGGTTGGCAGACCAGAACGCCGCCTCATAAAGAGGAAACATCGCCTCTACAACAAGGCTAGGAAAAGTGGAAAGGATGCTGACTGGCGTGCGTACAGAGTCCACAAAAGGGAAACCCAAAAGGCTCTCCGAACTGCAGAATGGTCCCACTTAAAGCGTACATTGCAGGCAGGAATTGAGCAGAAAAACAACAAACCCTTCTGGCGATACATCAAGGCCAGGAAGCAGGACAACATCGGAATTGCTCCACTAAAAGAGGGTAACAAACTACTCACCGACAGTACAGACAAGGCGGAGGCCCTAAACCGACAGTTTCGGTCGGTGTTCACAAAGGAGCCCCCCGATCCGGATCTCCCACCTCTCACCACACCCAAGTATCCCATCATGAGGAACCTCATTATAGATGAGAAGGGAGTTGAGAAGTTGATCCGTGAAATCAAAGTCAGTAAGGCTAGCGGTCCAGACAACCTAGCAAATCGTGTCCTTCAACAGTGCTCAAACGAACTTGCCCCTGCAATGACCCATATATCCAAACAATCAATCCTGACCGGTGAACTCCCTGATGACTGGAGGAATGCCAACATCACACCAATATTTAAGAAGGGTAATCGCCATCAACCCAGCAACTACAGGCCAGTGTCGCTCACGTGTGTGTATTGTAAACTGGTTGAGCATATTATCTGCCGCCACCTCACGAACCATCTCGAGGAATACAACATACTGACACATCTACAACATGGCTTCAGGTCAGGACACTCCTGTGAATCTCAGCTACAAATTACCACCTATGACATCACCAGCATGTACGGCAGGAAGCTACAAGTGGACACTGCCATCCTGGATTTCAGTAAGGCCTTCGACAAGGTTCCCCATTCAAAACTCCTGTACAAACTAGAGAATTTCGGTGTGAACCCCGACATACTAAAATGGATCAACGCCTTCCTGACATCACGGACCAAACGAGTACTTGTAGACGGCAGCCATTCAACACGAGTGAAGGTAGATTCAGGGGTCCCCCAGGGGACGGTCCTGGGACCTTTACTCTACCTCTGTCACATCAATGACTTGCCCGACTGCGTAACATCTACTGTACGTCTATTTGCTGATGATTGTCTGCTATACCGTCCAATTGGATGCCTCCAAGACCACCTGGACTTCCAAAAAGACCTCAAGTCCTTGGAAGAATGGGCAACGAAATGGGGTATGTCTTTCAACGCGTCAAAATGTTATATCCTGAGAACATCAAGATCCAAATCGCCTAGTGCCTACAACTACCAACTGTCGGGCCAATTACTCAAAGAAGTAGAAGAAAATCCATGCTTGGGGGTGACCATTCACAACTCCATGAAGTGGGACTCTCATATCCGTATCACAACCAACAAGGCAAATTCCACTCTAGGATTCCTAAGACGAAACCTACGAAAGTGTCCAGTGTCACTGAAACTGACAGCATACAAATCGTTGGTGAGATCCGTCCTTGAATACAGCTGTACGATATGGGACCCTTACCAACAAAACAACATCCACTCGCTGGAAAAGGTACAACGACGGGCTGCCCGATTTATAACATCAAACTATAGAAGGGACAGCAGTGTAACAGAAATAATGGACACTCTAAAACTAGTACCACTAAAGGATCGCAGGAGAGACCATCGGCTTGTCCTCTTTTATAAGATCGTGAAAGGGCTAGTGGCCATACCTGTAGATCACATATTGACTCCATCAAACACCCGTACCAGATCAAAAAATAGTGAAAATTACCGACACTTCCAGTGTAATACGGACATATTAAAAAAATCTTTTTTTCCTCGAACAACAACAGAGTGGAATAATCTACCAGAAGACCTCGTCAAATTGCAAAAACTTAAGAGCTTCAAGACAGCACTACAAATTGAAACAATATAACTAAAAGCGCACTCCTCCAACCCTGGAATTTATACTCAAATTTGAGGTCTTCCAGTAACATACAGATACAGAAGGGCCTGCACAAGAAGAACAATTAGACTTGCTCAAGTCCAGAAAATAATCACATAAACTAAATGCGAGTCTAATATTGACAGAGCGTAGAGCTTTTCTTCCCCACTCCAATACACACATTTAAAACAAAAGTGAAAAGAATATAAGCAAAAGTATGTAGGTTAAATGTTGCAGTAACTTAATTAACAATGTCTTATCCCCTATGATAATCTCACCCCACCACCACCCAATTACAATTAATTCTTGTACCTGTACTGTGCATGTCATATTCTTATATACATTTTATCTGAAGTTTGGAGAAGAGTTTTAAGTGGCTTTTGAGGCAAGATTACCATAGGTCAAAGATAGAAGAATGTGAACCAACTTCCTCCACCTAACAAGTTATTTTAAGAGTCAATCAGAGTAAACCATTATCTGTTTTTGTCCATACCAATGAAACAGGAGTTTTTGATAAGAATGTTAAATTGAAACAAAATCATACAATCATACAAACTTTCAAACCCAACAAAATCGTGCTGTCATCAATATCCACTGCTTCATAGACAAGTCCATAACAGATGTCCATGTCAAAATTTAGTAAATTCAGACTTAATTCTGTGGTAAATTATACAATTGTGATTGGTTATATATTTCTAACAGAATAATTCAAATCAAATAAATAACCTTTAATTGCTCAAATATAATGACAAATATATTTAGTTTGCAACACTGAACATATTTTTAAAGTTAATATCTATGCAGCGTTTACAATTACCAAGATATGCAATTCCCTTTTAAGGTTAAAGTTTATTTATGTGGCAGGGTTCAATTGTACATAGGATTAAGGTCGCCTTCTAGCTTTGAGCTAGAGCGAATTTTCCTTTAGCTTAGTGGTAGAGCGTCCGACTAGGAACCTGGAGAACGAAGGTTCGATCCCCGGTGGAAGCACACTATTCTCTTTCCTGTTACATTTATATTTAAAATAAAAGAAAGGTACTGAAGTGTTTAATGAAAGGTCAGCTTAAGCATCCTCATCATGCATGTATGCATTCAGGAGAGCAACCCTACCTGCATCATTAATTTAAGTATTAACCATATAATAGTTTTTGTTACTGAGATATGGACTTACACAACTTTTCTTAATGTGCACTGATGTACAATGTAGATGGAAGTCACTGGAGTCTAAAACGTAAGTCAAATTCAGCATCTACACACATTAATCAGTGTCCCTATAGCTGTGTCATTGATGCCATCATTATGTATGTAGTACATAGATGTACCCAGAAATGGACCCAACACTTTTTCTTTATGGGAATGGAGGGCGAGAACGAATCCATTTATTCATCCTCTGCAACCTTCGTTGAGTAGGGGCTGGGAATAAAAAATGTAACTTGTGAGCAGAGACGTATACGTTTCTGTTGTGAGGCAAACATACAAAGATGAAGATAAATAACAACATACATATTTACATCAGTCAATGATTTAATTTCATAAAAAAAATATCAATATGCATAAAAGTTAGCAAAACAATCACTACAACAAAGTTATCAACAAGTATGCTGTCATTACATATATCTACATACATGTACATATATTTGATGGAACAATTTAAAACATATTTTTTTTAAACAAAGCAATGCACAGGAATACTGAATAAAATATAATCATCATGAAATATCATGACTCAAGACCAGTTTTTAAGAAACTGATGCCTGTTTTGGACACCTGTGACCTTGAAAGAAGGTCAAGGTAATCTACATGATGAAACTTTAAAGTATTTATCCCAAGTACTTGCTGACCAAATATAAGGGCCCTGTGATTTTCAATTTAAAAAAGTAATTTAAAGAAAAAGTTGACAGACAGACTTATGACAGACACTTCACTATACCATAAGATTATGACAGTTTGTACCAGAGGAGCTTAAAAGTGTATCTGAAGTTCATGAACCATGATATTTGTCTTTCCTTCATTCTGACTGTATGGCCAAATCAGAAAAATCACAACAATTATCAATCACTAGCCACGGTATACATGTCATTGGTCAATGCTCTTTTTAATTAATGTCCAACAATATGGTATTTTCATCGTCATATATGCAGCAATGTCTTGTTTTCTCCATTCAAAGGCTTAGGAATCCCAGAA